AGACTACGTGAAATATTAAGTGAATATTAAGAAGAAACTACTATGATATGGCAAAAATAAAACATATCTGAATACGATAAGAAAATTGATGTATGCAAAGGAACATGTAAAATGATATGTATGTAACTTAACGAATGCTACTTATTCACACGACATTTATGAGATCAAAGTATACATGACCTGTATAATTTGCACTATGAGAATATGATATTGACATAAATATATTTTTGACATATTAATACTTTTAACAAAATTGGCAATGTTTTAATGCCAATGTAAAATACGTTTCTAATACTGCATCTACCTATCGCTGTATACATTACACATTTTATTTATGCCTGTTTTGAAATTGATTAATCAATCTGTCTTAGGGATCTTGTAATTCTCATGTAATACTAGTTATAAATATTTTATTTATGACAGTGATAGTTTCCTATGTAAATTTACAGGTACTAATTGTGCACATGCACAATGGAAACATTACTCTGTTGCTAAGTATATACCAGTTAGATAATAGTTCTAAACTGATGACGCATCATACGGTCAATGGCGGCCTGTGCTCCTTGTTAACAACATAGAACTTGTGTTTCTTACCAAATAAACCCCATATCACGGCAACATTCTCAATAATTATGTTGAATGGAATAGTGGATAATGCACCACATATACACAGCATAAATCGGGCAACACCGAAACGATATAAGGAGAACGATTTAACTACTCCAAACACATACATGTAGATATTTACTGCACCGATAAACGCGCAAAGAAAGTCGATCAACGGTGGGCAAGTAATCGGACACAATCCGGCCAAAACAATGTTAGAAGTGGAAAGAGGCATCGTTACCCATGAGTAACACGAAATACCCAGCAAGAATTTCTTTCTCAATGGAATCGCTTTGGAATGCACAACAAGTAATATACCTTGCAGCCATCTTTTTCTCTGCTGTACAAAGTCCCACAGAGAAAACGGTGATTTTTCCCACATTTCGCCATCCACAAAATTGAACGTATATCCCTGGGAAAATGCCTTCATTGCGAAGAAACAATCTTCTGCAACGGATCCGTCTAATCCATTATTAAACGAAACGTGTTTTTCTGCTCCCATCTGAAATACATATTCATAGAAAAACCTAACGTAAAAATAACAAAAAACAAAATAGATATATTTTTTTCTGTAAATATGTCACTACTTTAATATTATAAGTGATGATATATATATTTATATTTTTATTATATATAA